AAATGGATCATAAGCTTCCTAACAGACAAGAAGCAGCAGGTGAAAGTAGGAAAAATCACATCAGATATCTATACAATTAGCACAGGAGTCCCCCAGGACTGCGTCTGTCTCCACTTCTCTCTATACACCAATGACTGCATTTTAAAAGATCCCTCTGAAGTTTGCAGATAATACAACAGTGATTGGTCTCATTCGAGACAATGATGAATCTGCTTACAGATGGGAGGTTGAACAACTAGCCATGTTAGGTGTAACCAGAACAATCTTGAACTAAACACACTCAAAACTGTAGAAATGGTGGTAGATTTTAGGAGAAACCCTCCTATACTACTCTTACAATACTAGATAACACAGTATCAACAGTAGACACCTTCAAGTTTCTAGCCTCTATCATATCTCAAGACTTAAAATGGACACCTAACATGGACACCTAACATCAAAAACATCATCAAAAAAGCACAACAAAGAATGTTCTTTCTGCACCAACTCAGAAAGCTCAAACTGCCGAAGGAGCTGCTGATTCAGTTCTACAGAGGAATAATTGAGTCTGTCATCTGCACCTCTATAACTGTCTGGTTTGGCTCTGCAACCAAACAAGACAGACATGGACTTCAATGGATAATTAGAACTGTAGAACAAACAATTGCTACCAACCTGTCTTCCACTGAGGACATGTATACTGCACAAGTCAAAAAGGGGGCTGTGAAAATATCTACAAACCTCTCACATCCTGGACATACATTGTTTTAACTTCTACCCTCAAAATGGTTCTATAAGGCACTGCACACTGGAACAACTAGACACAGGACAGTTCCCCCCCGAATGCCTTCATTCTGCTAAACAACTAATTCCTATCAAACTCTTTACTAAGACTGTATTACTATTCTTCTTTTCATCCTTCCTATTACCTATATCCACCTACGTATGACTATAACCATGTTGCTTGTATCGTTATGATTTATATTGTTTTATTTGTTTCCTAGTATGATTTGATTGATTATTAGTAACCTATGACTATCACTAAGTGTTGTATCATATGATTCTTGATTAATGTATTTTTCTTATTTTATGTATATTGAGAGCATATACACCAAAGACAAATTCCTTGTGTGTCAAATCAGTTGGCCAATAAAGAATTCTATTCTATTCTATTCTATTCTATTCTATTCTATAAATATTTAAAATTCAAGAGGTCTATGAATTATGTAAACATATAACAAACATCACCAAAGCTATAGAGTATGTAGAGAACACATTTATCATTTTTAAAGAAAGTCATTTTCATCCAGTTCTTATTCCACTATGTTTGAATCCCCAAAATTAATTCTAAGTAACCATTTGCATAGAATAGTGTAACTATGCTATGTTCCGGGTCATGTTTGACCTATGAAAGATGTATTTTAAAAACACTGACAAAAACTTGACAATTCGATCTGATTGTAGAAATATTGTGTATTTTATTGTTGTTATTTGACATATATCTTGTACTTTTTATTTTAAAATGTAGACTAAGGTTATTTTATTATATAGCTGTAGTGTTATTTTTATTATTCAATTTGTGTATTAATTTAATATTATGTTTTTGCCTTTTTGTTTTGACTTAAAACAAGAAGGTACTTTATTATACATTTGTATCTATACTGAAGAAAGTCAAAAGTTTCTCCTTTTGTATTTTTTCCATATTTTTGTCACTTTTAAACTTCTTTACCCATTTGGTCTCTTCCCCTCCCAATCATTCTTTTTATTTTACTTTGTATTCTATTTCTTTATGAAACTCAGTAAAGTCTGTTTTAAAAAAATCAGACAAAAAGTAAAACTGATATAAAGTAATTTATTTTTAATAAAATCAAATACAAATTTTCTTTCAGTCATGTAATCCTAATTTCTAGTTCATTTTAAAAACTACAGTTCAGAACCAAATTGGAGAATGCAGTCACGATTCTGAGGGAAATAGAGTTGACACTAATATTCTTAGCAGTCCCGATTTATACTCATTTATCTTTTCTGCAAGGGGAACTTTTGAAAGTTTGGAGAACGCATTGAGCACCTCTTTGATAATTTGAATATGAGTGTTATGGTGAACATCATGATCAATCAAACTATGTTGGATGGTTGACACTTCACCTAACTACATATAACTTCTTACTTGTATACATTTTAAATAAAAAAAGAATCTATTATAAGAAGGACAAGGGATTTGGTTGGTATCAAGGGAAACTTTCACCCAGTTAATAATATATCAAATAATCTGAATGGATGTATGCCCATAATTTATAATATCAATCCATCTTGAATTCATATTGCAAGGCATTACCTATTGCAGATGGTAATACCTTTTAGACAGCTGAATCTGTGTTGAATATGAACATGAAATTACAGATTTAACCCTTGCTTTGCTTGTTAAGTACTATAAGTACAATATTCTATCGCAATATTTTTTTTTCCAAGTGTAAATATATAATCCTTGAAGCGGTCAGTGCACCTGGTAAAATCTCTAATATGGCAGCTTTAATTTCTGCCATGCATAACTTAATAACTGAATTATTTCAATGAATGAAGTAATCCTAATTATATGATTAAGGAGGCTAAATATCTTCAGAACATTGATGTAGCTGATCTGAGGATGGTCCACGCAGTCTAACGAAGGAAATCTACATGCAAGACTTTTAAAATAGGGTGATTACAAACTATTAGAGAAATATATTGGTTTAATCAATTAATGTACCGCTACATATTATGAGGTAAAAAATTACCATAATTCTCAGATAATGAAGATTTGTTTCATGGGGGTAAACTGAGCTCCTTATTTGCAATCAATATTAGCAAAGAAGGAAAGGGAGAGGCTTTGGTAAGGAAATGCTCATATACCATTTTCAAATGTTGGTTTATGTACATACTTTTCATAACAGTGAGTAAATAAAAAGGAAACACATTTTAGAATACAGCAGTGATGATAAGCTAAAAGCTCTTGTGTCAGTTTATTAACATTTTGATAGCTTCCCTTTGTTCTTTCTATAATGTACCTTCTGAAACCCTTTGTCTTATCTTATTTTTCTGAACAAAGGTCTCATTCGATTGCAAGAACTTATTAAGGCTCCATCAAGGTACAATTTGCGTCTAAAAATTCGCCAATTACCCTCTGACACCAAGGATGCCAAGCCCTTGCTCAAGGAGATGAAAAGGGGCAAAGAATTCCACGTCATCTTTGACTGCAGTCACGAGATGGCAGCAGGTATTTTAAAACAGGTAAGCATACCTTTCCCCCTTCCCTTACCCTTTCTTAGGGAACGTGGTGGCTCAGTGACTACAATGCTGAGCTTATTGATCAGAAAGGCCAGCAGTTTGGTGGTTTGAATACCTAGTGCCAGGTAATGGAGTGAACTTCCGTTACTTGTTCCAACTTCTTCCAACCTAGCAGTTCGAAAGCATGTAAAAATGCAAGTAGAAAAATAGGAACCAGCTTTGATGGTAAGGTAACAGTGTTCCATACGCCTTCAGCATTTAGTCATTCTGGCCACATGACCGCAGAGATGTCTTCGGACAGCACTAGCTCTTCAGCTTTAAAATGGAGATGAGCATCGCCTCCTAGAGTCGGGAATGACTAGCATGTATGTGCAAGAGGAAACGTTACCTTTACTCTTTCTTAGAGACAATAGACATTTTGAAGTCAGTATGATTGGCCTATGACTAGCAGGCACATGGAAGAATGCTTCAGTTATTCTTAATGGACTTGGGAAATTCAAAGAACATAGGGGAAAGGATTGTGTACAAGGACTCCACCCTCCAAATTCTCCCATTATTCATGTCCCTGGTTTTTTGTTTTCTTTAGGAAGAGGTGTGAAGTTAGCTGAACTGGTAAATAATATGCCCCAGAGTTTCAGTCTAGAAAAAGAGCTAAGGTCAATCAAATGTGATTTTCAGTTCTTCCTTAGATCTCCCTGGTGGAGGTAAGGAGATGAGGGAAATCAGGAGGAAAATTCAGGTAGAGCCTCAGGATATGAGATGGCATGATTACATTTTCAACAATTTTTTAAAGAACAGTTGAAGAAGGCTCTTAATACAAGCAAACTAATAGAAAATATCTAAAGCTCATTCTTGAATGAGTTCTTGATTTTCTAAGCTTAATATGCAAAGAAAATAGATTATCCACTACCATAAATATTCTAAAAAGCTGCCTGATTTACTTCAAGGTACAAGCCTGCCCTTTTCATTTCCAATTATTAATGTGCTGTGATTATTTAATTTTACATATTATCTCAAGTACCGTCATTCAATTTCTTCTGTGCTGAGATGAGTGAACTACTTTGCATCCGAAAAGGAACCTTCACAGGTCCTACTTCACAATGACCTTCTCGCCCCTGTGATCACATGCTGTAGCAGTTTTTTTGGCAGTTGAACTGATTTACTTAAAGTTCATACACAGTACAAGAGGAACTACTCTAAATGGATTTCATCAAGAAATGTTGTTATTCTGTTGAACTTGGAAACACATTGTTTCTTCTTTGGAGAGATTTTGTCTCATCTGTTCTGTATGCCTGAACTCATCTTCCTTAGCAGATCCTGTAACGGAAATTCTGGCTTGAAACTTTTCAATTTTTTAAATAACAAAATGGCTAAGAGTAAAATTGGTTAATCTCTCACAGTTTCCTCTCTTTTTTTTCCATCAAGAAATGAACTCCACATCCATGGTATTTATAATTCCTTCTCTGGTTTACAGTGGGAATAAGGTGTTGCTGTTTTTGGTTATCCTAGGATCTCTGGCAGCTCAAAACAAGGCAATGATTTTTATTCCTGGTTATCAGCCTTTCAAATCCCCAGAAGTGAAGAGAACACAAATGGCTTTTAATTTGGTTCAGACAGACTGAAAGATAAAAACTGTGATACCATGGATGTGTCGATATTGTCATCTGTTCAGATGTATTTTGATTTCCATAAAACATTGCATTTTAATTCCAGTTTTCAATGAAAATTCAGTAATCTCTCAAAGTACAGGTAGTCCCATACCTACGACCACAATTGAGCCCAAGATTTAGATTATTAAGTGAGACATTTATTAAGTGAGCTTTGTCCCATTTTACTGACCTTTTGTGTCACATTTGTTAAGTGAATCACTGCAGTTGTTAAGTTAGTAACATGGTTGTTAAGTGAATCA